GTTTGAGATTTCTATTATTGTTTTATTAATTAATTTTTTTTAAAAGATCTTGATTTAAGTTTTTTTTTTATTATTTAAAAAAATGGTTTTAGTTTTATCTTATGGTTTTTTATTTATTAACTTAAAACAAACTAATTTTGAAAAAAAAACATTATTTAAAAAAACAGAAAAATAAAGAAAAATAAAAATATTAAGGCAAAAATGGGTTGGACCGGGTATCACTTCCGAACCCAACCCGGTCCATTGCAATAGAGAAAGGGCTGAAGAAACCCTAAGAAGGAAGGCCAAAACGGCGCTTCATCCTTTCACTCGTATTCTCTCATTTTCGTCTTCTCTCGTTTTCATCTTCTCTCTCGTTCATCTTTCACCTGTATGCAAAAACGAAAAGAAAAAAATAGTCATCAACATTGGGCTTACGATTCGGTGGGGATTTTGACGGTGATGAGAACGTATGTAGTTCTCTGAGTCTCATGGCTTGTGGTTGTTCGCCGGCTTTATTGATGATCTCGGTTGGTGGCCATGATGAGGAAATTCGAGCCAACACTTTGGTTTACGGATGGATTTTGTTTTGATGCTAATCACGGGATCGATGATGCACATGCTGAGGCTGAGAGGGTGATTACCCACCGTTTTGAACGGCGACGGTGGTCTCCACTTTTCGTTTGGACTCGCGGCTCCGTTTACGGTTGGTATTCCACTTTGGTGAGTCCGCTCCTCTCCTGATGATCTCAACTGTTCGTTGTTGTTGATGGCCTGTTGCTTGATTGTCTGTTTTTCACTGATGAACGGTGCCTAGGGTTTTTTATGTGTGTTCATCCGCGGCTGTTAGGGTTTCAAAGAGGTGAATTCGTTCCTTTATACCTTTCTCTGATCCTTTTTTTGGGCTTTGATCACTTTGGATTACGTTACTTTCCACTGAGATATGATTTCGTATTGATTGGGATTTTTGATATGATTTGATTTTGTTGAACTCTGATTTTGATTCTCTTTCCTTTTTCGAACTTGCTTGAAACCGATCTCGTTTGGATCTCTCTGGATTTTTTTGCTTTCCATTGTGATTTGTTTGATAAAACTGGATTTGGTTTGATTTTTTTTCAGATATAGATGTCCAGTTTATTCCTGATACTGATTTGGATCATCTTTGGTGCAGCTTGATTGGCAATTTGGTTTTTCGATCCAGTTTGAGTTATTACCGCTGACTTTCTGATAGACTGATGTGGATTTTTACTGATGCAACTTAAAGTTCGCATTTCATTTCTGTTTTTCATTTCTGTTTTTTCTGATATGAGTTTATTGGTTTGGTTCAGAACCGATGTGAACTGATGAATTAATTTTTTCTGATATGATTTTATTGAGTTTATTAGTTTTTATTGGTTTGGTTCAATTCAGTTTGGTCACGAATATCAGTTTGGGGATCCCATTTTTACTTGATAGTATCCCACCATATTTACTTGATAGTAGCATTCGTCTGAATCCAAATTCGGCACACATCATTTCGGCCCGAAAAACTTCTTTTACTCTCTTTCTCGGCTGTCTCATTAAGAACAGGTACTACCGATTGGTAGCCGAGGTCTCAGATCGGAAATGGGAGTTTGGTTTCGGCCTTGGTCGTGCCCTCCCGACACCCGATGATGAGCTTTATTTTGAGGGTGTCGAAAAATATTTCCTAACCTTTTCTGCCCTGTTTTTGCTTTGTTTGCGCAGGTACTCGGAGAAGGCTCGAATGAAGGACATGAAGAAACTAATCGAGAAATGGCATGAAGATTAGATGTTTAGGACTTTTTAGGATAAAACATGTAAATTTAGATCCCTTTGTAACTTGTAAATCAAATTATATTATGAAATAAATTCCATATATTTTTCTTCATTACTTTCTGGTTCTTTTTTGTAATTCAAATATGTCACAACCGTATAACTCACCAAAATTGCCAATTGAATCTACTTTCATCAAAAAAAATCCAATTAAATCCTACTTGAACAAGTAACTCCAAATAAGTTCGACCGATTAAACTTTACACGATTTAACTTAAACAAATGGAATTAACCTTCACCACATAAGTTCAACAAATTCAAAGAAACAGTTGAAATCGAGCATTGTTATTTCCCACGTGTCGGTCCATTTAAACCTGATATAACTTTCAATTCTAATTCAATATTTCCTGAATTAAATTGTGCTTTGCGTCTTTGATAAAACCCCTATACCAGCTTGGCCCACAAACCTCGATCAACCATAAATTAAAACTTGAATCAGACTCGAAACAGAAAAAATGCGCGCTTATGACATAAATTTAGACAAGTGATTTCTTGCACCGATTCAAACCATCTCAAATTAATATCTCACCATAACCAGCCTCACAGGATTTTAGCAACGGCCCCCCTGACACTCAAATCTCGGCCCCCGAATAAATTACCGTATCGATGCCAACATTTACCGTGAATTTCTGCTTATCCCAAAACAAAGATTTCAGAGAAGGATGTTTTAATTATCCCGAAGAACCCTAGCGCAAGCTCATTTTCAAAAATTGTCGGTAAACAATGTACAAATTACCATTTTGCCCTTTTCATAACCAAAATGCCTCAGATGCACTTCCTGCAAAACAAACAGACTATGTAGCCCGTTAGTGGTTAGTTGATGCAAAAAAAATGAGATGCTATGCGATATGAATCGGCTAAATATAAGGGTAAAATTTTGGGGTATTACTTGAATTATAGTGGTTTCAACAGCAAGGAGGTGGGATCTTAAGGTCAAAAATTAGGGTGCAACAGGTAAATATGGTCATTTGGGGGGGGGGGGGGGGGTAGATATGGTCATTTGAAAGAAAATTGGTCATTAAAAGTGGATCTAGAAAAAGAAATGAATTGAATGTGGAGAATGGTTAGTTGATTTTGGATTTGAATTTTGTGACAAGGAAATGATATGGATAATGACATAAAAAATGAATATTTGGTTTAATGGACTTGCATCTTGCTTTCTAAGTAAATCACATGGACCTTTCTAAACACACTTAATTCAAACCAAACTTTCTAATCCAATTAAACTTTCAATCTTTATGAACCCCAAAATTCAACCAGTAAAACAAGTTAACCATGACCCAATTCCTTTCAAATCAAACCACAAACACTTTGTCTTGATGGCCACTGATCTTAACAGGAAACCCTGATCTCAAGACCTTCAATCGATGACTGTCCACAAACTCCCTGGAATGAGAAAACCAATGATCTTCCTTGAGTATGCACTGATGCAGATTCAAACCCTAATCTGCAACCTTTCTCAATCAAATCACAGATGACAACCCAAACACATGATACTTCTTGAGAAGTTTTGAGGAAGATAAACTTGATACTTGATGACTTGATAAGAAGATTACAATGAATAGAATCCAACCTCTTGCTTCCACTTGGATGAAATAGAAACCACCTGGATCACCTCTGAATAGAGTAAATACCAATAACGAGAAAAATCCTTCGATCCCACGTCTTAGAAGACCATGCAAAGTATGATTATGAATTGTGAACTAATGATGATGCAAATGAACGTGAAGCAAAAGCCAGTCAAAGCTATAAAAAGTGAATGAAAATTTTGGGGTGCAACACTACGCCACAATCGTCGCTCCACTGATCGATTTATTACATTTCACTACATTTACATGGAACAAAGATGCAGAGATTGTCTTTACAACATTAAAAAAATGACATAAAGTCTGGTGCTTGCGCTCCCCGACATTAGTAAGACCTTCATTGTTGAAACCGACGCCTCAGCAATTGTAATAGGTGTTGTTCTTTCTCATGATGGACACTCTCTGACTTTTTTCAACAGGAAAATGTGTTCACGTATGCAAGCGTCCTCAGTTTATTTGCGGGAGATTTACGCAATAACTGAGGCTGTAAAAAATGGTGTCAGTATCTTATTAGGCAACATTTCCACATTTTTACTGATCAGAAGAGCTTAAAAAATTTATTAGTGCGGACGATTCAAACACTAGAGCTATAAAAATGGGCTGCCATGTTACATGGATTCAATTTCAACATATTCTACAAACCAGGAAAATCCAATCAAGTTGCAGATGCATTGAGCCGCCGACACACAGAAGAGTCTGCAACAATGTTGTCCATCTCAAATCCAATTCCAGACTTTATTTCACGCCTCAGATAATTCTATACAAACACAAGTGAAGGACAAGAGCTTGTTAAGAAAACTCAAAGCTATCCCAAAATACAGTTGGTTTATCGTTTCAAGAATGATCTTTTATATTTTAAGGACCGGATATTCTTACCAGATACCCTGGACTTTTGTACAACCATTCTCCAAGAGTATCACTGCGCACCAACTTCGGGTCACTCTAGCCTGAAACCTACTCTGAACCGCATCTCGACCACCTCCCTTTGGCTTGGACTATACAAAGACGTCAAACAATTTGTACAAGCCTGCCTCACCTGCCAACAAAACAAGTACATGCGAACAAAAAAATAAGGATTGTTACAATCTTTGGAAATACCACAGCAAGTTTGGGAAGATTTATCAACAGACTTTGTTACTCGCCTTCCTAAATTGTTTGGCCATACTGTTATCTGGGTTATATGTGATAGATTGTCCAAGTTTGTCCATTTTGTTGCTTTACCTACTAACTTTGCAGCCCAAGACTTAGGCAGACACTTTTTTGTCGAGATCTGTCGTTTGCATGGAATACCAAGGTCCATCGTCTCAGATAGGGGTCCTCTTTTCCTATGTGTTTTTTGGAAGGAACTTTTCCGTGTGCAAGGTACATTCCTGAAATATAGTACAACTTATCACCTAGGAACTGACGGACAAACTGAAGTTGTAAGTTGAATCTTAGAGACATACCTTCGATGTTTTACCACCGACAATCCGTGTAGTTGGTTCAAATATCTTCATCTGGAAGAATATTGGCATAACTCCACCTTCCATTCATCCATCAAGATGACCCTTTTGAGGCCTTATATGGAAGGCAACCTCCGACGACCAAGGACTACATCAAAGGTCATGCGAGCATTCCTTCACTAGATTCGTCCCTGCACAACAAACAACTCATACTTAACAGCTTGAAGCTAAATCTATCCCGCAACCAGAAAATCATACAAGACTAGACTAATAAAAAACATAGCTATTGTACCTTCGATGTTGGTGACTTCGTATGAATTCAACTGCAACCATATCGTCAGACATCGTTCCACCGACGAAAATTGCAGAAACTATCAAAACGGTACTTTGGACCGTTTCCAGTTTTGCATTGTATAGGTTCCTTGGCCTACAAACTCTTGTTTCCAAGTTCGTCACGCATCCACCTCGTTTTCCATGTCTCTTAGTTGTGAGGTTATCACAGTAATGATCCAAAATAGGCATTGGTACCCATTCTTGATGATACTCATGTCGACAATAGTTTAGACGCAGATCCATTAGAAGTGGTGACTGAAGAATATAAAACTTTTGAGGTTCAATGCGCATCAGACCAATAGTTGCAAAGTGATATTACTCATGACTTCAGAAGCAAGTTTTTGAATCAAATGACATTGAAACTTTGGAGAAAAACAGAAGTGAAAAGATGGAAAAAGAAGGAAGTGAAACACTTGAGAAAGGAAGAAGTGAAACTAAAACGGTGAAGTCCAACTCATATACTTCTCAGAACACACAAAAAGGTACCAATTTCGTGGAAGCATCTCAACCGTTAGATGTTTTTAACCCTCCATGCAATCAATCTAACCTCTTAAAAGTTTGGGCGCACTTACCTTTATCTGAGGCCTCACCTTTAATAAAGAGGTCATGTGATCCTACTATTCCCTATTCAAATCCTTTAAGTGGCATATAGCTAGATTCCACTTCCTTGAAACCAGAACCCGTCGCCCCTAGTTCCCAACCATTCCACTTCCCAATCCCCCATTTTTGCCTTCCCAGTTATGCGTGCCAACCTCTTCACCCTTGGATTCCCAACGACACAATATCCCTTTTGCAGCAAGTGACACGCGTCCATACGCACTTCCCAAAACCTGCCCTTTTTAGTCTGGTGATTTGACCACACACGGAGGGCACACTGATCCAACTCTCTTCCCTTACGTGATTCAAGAATCTTCCTATCATGTCCCAATTTTTTCTCCATACTACTCTTATCCTCAACACGTGTTTTCCACCCCTCAGACTGGTTCGAACAATGATGACACTGGGTCTAAAAACTTTACATTAAACCTTGAGGACAAGGTTTTAACTGGGCCGGATAGTGGTGTTAGGATGCAGGATAGACCCACTAGAGTTATAAAGAAACCCAAATGACAACAGGACTTTATTATGAAATAAGACTAATTTTTAACTTTTGAAACTTTATGTTTTATCTTTCTTTTCCTTCAAATGGGTATGACCCATAGTTTAGGCCTATTTAGATTTGGTGTATTTAAGGGCTGTTTGCAACTTGTTTTACAGTAGAAGAAATTAAATCATGTTATTTTTATCTTTCCTTTTCCATTTGTTTTTTGAGTAAACCCGATTCTTTTGGTAGCAGCATAACCCACCATCATACTTATTATATCTGTAATTTAAGAAAGAACAATGAGATGAATGAAAAAAAAGAATTGAATCCCAAAAGGTACCATGCCTCACTCTAACACTAAAAAATTTAAAATAATTTGGATAGCAAAAGTCAAGACTTGATTTTGCAATCTAGATGTGCTTGAAAGTCATAAAATTTAATTGATATTTTAATAGTAGTTGTTTAAAATGTATTGAAGGAGACAAAACTAATTTATCCTCTTTAAATCATAGAAATAAAGTTTATGTACTTATGGAGACAATAACAAATGTAAAATCAATAAGAGTCTCATAAGTTTAAGGTTTAAAACATAACTTACTAAGTATTAGTCAATTGTTTGACCAATGTAATTAATTTGTATTATATTCTTCTATATGCATGGTCATAGATTTCAAATAATGTATATTGTCTTTGATAGTACATGTACCATAAAAGAGAACGTGGTTTAGTATTGGATCATGGGGGTGCTGAGGGTAGTATGCATTTTTTGTTTGATCTTCCACATCAAGAAAGAAGGGTGGTGTTGTTAAGGTTCAATCAAAAGTTTTATGTGAAGTTTGGACTAGAGAAATTTGATAGAAGAATCAATTTTGGTTCGTGAAAATTTTAAGTCAATGATATGTTGATACAACCAAGAATGCATAGATTATTGATTAGTACATGAGAATTGATTGACATTGATGCAACGTGTAATGTGAAGAGCTTCCTGTCAACATGAAAGTTGCAGCATAAAATTTCATCATGAGTTTCCACAATGTTAAAATTACTAAAGTGTCTTAGTTTAAGTGAAATATATTATCACAATAAAGTGTGATAGTTCTTTAGAATTATGATTGTTGGTGATGAAAATGTGAAATTTTCAGAATGATTTTGTTTCAAGTGAAATATAGTCATTCTGGTAAAGTATTGTAGTTCTTTTGAACTATGATTTCCAACGAAGGCAATGCGGAAATTCTTTTAAAAAAATTAATTTTAAGTGACTATATTGTTTATGGTGGAGAATGATAGTTCTTTTGAACTACGATTATTTGTGTAGACAACATAAATTGATATATATTTTTGAATCAAGGTGGATATTATTTGTATTAGTTTAAATTATACATATTTAAAAATTCCTACATCACCTAATATTATGGAGAAATAATGAGAGCAATACTATACTAACCATCGTAAATCTTTGTTTCAAAAAGAACAAATTAAAAGGTACTTTAAATTTGTATTTGAATTTTTTATTTTTTTTATACTTTTTTATTAGAGTGTTGTGTAATGTAGTTAAATGATAGTTCTTCTGGACTGACCCAATGGCTAGGCATGGCCCAGTCCATTTCTGCCCCTAGAACGACCTAATTGTCTAAGTCCACCCAATTTGAGGGGAGTGTTGATATTGACAGTGGTTAAGTGTCGGGTTTTTGTTATCGTCTCCATAGGGAATATATGATATTGCCATAGTTCGACAGTTATCGAGTTCTTAACTTTTTAGTAACGAAAGGGGTTTGGTTTTTGGTAACGGTATCTTTGCATAGAAAGTACTGAATCGCGATAAAAGATTGATTTTACGATTTAATAAAGATTTCCAAAGTTAGGGTTCGGTAATCACTTTGCTTGTATATGTCTGATCAACAATAAGCATAAACTTCTTTAGATGATCAAAACATTCACAACATCCTCCCAATGTGATTATCTCTAACTCACATTATGATTTTTCCCATTTTGATCCATTGTTGATCTCTCACACAATGTATCAAAATGAAAACATTTAGGTTTAACATTTTTTGTGAACAACCACATTCGAAACTATCTCTAGCTTAAGAAAATAGAAGGATGAAAACCTAGGTCAAAAGTTGGAAAATATCTTTCGATCATAAACCAACACAAAGAGTTAAAGATAAAGCATGGTTTTCATCATATATTCATCATCCAAAAGTTTACAAATGAAGATCATCTATATACTTACAAAGCTTAATGATCACCTACATCTAACCTTGACAAAATGAATAACTTAGCTACTCATTTTCATGGTAGCTTGCAAAAGAAGATCCGGAAGAAGGTTGATGAACATCTGAGTCAAAGAATCCAACTTGGATGAGAATCCACCTTCTTTTTGTGGATTAATGTTTTGAATTGAAGAAAATAAGAGGTAGAGTATTTCTAGGTCACAAAATCTCTTATGCAGCAAAAACAAAGTAAAAAAATAATATTCCTGTTCAAAAAGTACAAAGGCTATATATAGAAAAAGTTGTTGCCCTGTCACGCTCGCTACTTCATTCGCCTAGCGAGCTAACAGCGAACGTTCACTACAGCTTCACTTAGCGAACATGTGAGCAAGGGCTGAGGAAAAGATTCTGGAATGCTTCGCTACTTGCTCGCTAGGTGCTCTCCTAGAGAGTTATTCGCCACCTGCCTCGCTGCCCGCAAATAATGCATTTATGGTTCTGCCCAAATCTGGGAGTGTTTGCTAGCAGCTCGCTGGATGCTCGCCTAGCGAACAACTCGCTGCAACACTCGTCAGATGTTCGCCTAACGAACATGCTTTTGCTCTTGTACTTTCTTGATTCCTTTGTCAACTTTCTTGTGTCTTCAATTTTTGCTCATTCATGCTCAAATACTGCACAATAACACATAAATTAAAAAGAACAAGATCATTTCACGACATATCGCATATCAACAAAAACAAGGAGGTTTTGAACCGAAATTGCACAAAAAGAAGTGGAAGATCCCCACATTTTATAGCTCAAATAAGCACAATTGGGTATCTAACAACTCTTCCCAACTAGAATCTTGCTTGCCCTCAAGCAAAGTATGCCTCTCGCAGAACAAGCGGATTCGCTTGAAGAAAAATGTTTTTCCGAAATTGGATCAAATGGCTCAAACACAAACAACTCAACTAGATACAAGTCTCCAATGGTTAGAACAACACAATACACAAAGACTAAAATCTTAAAGCAATGCAAAACATGTATCAATCAACAACAACAATATCCTGAATGAATCACTATATCACTCCTCTTCGAATAAGGATTGAAGAGATCACGCGTTTACAACCGCGGGTGCAATCTCACTCTCCAACAAACAATGCCAAACTCAATTCAATTCATACAATGTCTAACAATTACAAATGAAAATGCGGAAGCACAAAGATCACTAAGGTCTTTTCTGGTTGTAGCTTAGTCATGCTAACAAACAAGGGACATATCTAAAGCCATTGAAAACAAAGTTATCGACGCTAAAGAGACATTCACTATACAATTATTCACACATCTCAACTTCATCTTACCTATTTCTCATTTGAAACCTTCACAACTCTTATTCCATAACTCAAAAAAAAAATTTCTCAATATTTTTCTTCCAAGCAAGCATTCATTTTCATTCTTTTCTTTTGATTATATATTTATTTTCACACCGAATTTACAAAACAAGTGTTTCTCTCTTTTTTTTTTTTAATTTATTTTCGATGCTTGCTTGGTTTTTCGAGAATTGTGATAAACTACCAACTTACAATTTCGTTCTCCCCAACTTATCTTCTACTTCCTTCTTTAAGTGAATGCTCTTTACTTTTGACGGCAAAAGAACAATAATAAAAAATTTGCAGGTTTTCAAGAAAAAGATTTTTGAAATCTCGCTTTGTTTCAAGCAAAGATTCAACAGTTTAAGCTCAAGGGGGGTTAACAAATACTCACTGCTCACGGGTAGCTTGTGTATGGAACTGGTTGTGCTCTAAAGAAGCAAGTGCCTTGATCATTTCTAATTGCTTCCACAAGTTCACAATAATAAAAGACAAAACATGAACAAAACGAATCAACACAGTTCATTAGAATCCAACATTTATTTGAACAATGGAGGTTTCCTCACAATTTGTGGTCTTAAGTACTAAGTGAATCATTCATTCATTCATGTTGCAAAAAGAACAATATTCAATTACAGCAAGATT